TTTTTTTTTTGTTTGTACTTTAGAAATATCGAGAACGTTTCCAATTGTCTACGTCTCCATCCCTAGACGATTGATATATCCATTCCGTACCTTCTAAGGGCCTAGTTTTAAGCCGCAATTTTCTTCCAATGATTGACGTTCATTGCTTTTTTTATTACAGTGGTTCTTATGTTTCGATATAATGGTGGCTTTTAAGCGGGTATGTGCTGCATTTACAGCTATAGCTTTCTTCTTGAGTCTGGTTCTTCGGTCTTAAGTTATATGTTTGTCGTCTCTGATGCTGAATTCGCATCTGTCCACTGTTTTGCTGCAGATGCTGGAAACATAAGCACCGTTACGTGGAACCAAATCATTAAAAGATTATTCGCTAGTTTGGAAGTTTGAAAAAAGTAGTGGAATTATTGAAGCGTTTTTCAACCAATTACTGGTAACTAGCTGTCACTTTCGTTCGTTGTATTTTTAGTCGTGACCATTGGATCCCAAAGCGACAATACATTGTTTTTTTTGCGACATACTAGCGGGAAATTTTTTTATTTTATTAGCCCATGCTCCGAGTGGATGAACTGATACTCGCAGTGGTCGGGTCGGAAAGAAGTGCTTAATGAGTGGCAATTGCAGTTTATTTATCGGTATGAGCTACACTGAGGCAATAAGTGTTGGATGTTCAAGAACTGCTGCTGAGTGACTACTATGTCGCGCATCGTTAGGCCGTTACCGAAAAGAAAATGGTTTGAAATATCAGAAACACCTAAAGGTGGATAAAGACAAGCGACGTTTATATGAAATGAACGTTGATCAGGAACGATTTCTTAAAATCGAATTCCCTCTGGCTAGTCTACTTTGCAAGGGGCAAGAAAAAGGTTTAGATTCCGGAAGGCCATATATTAGGAGGTGGGAACTAAAGTGAATTGGTGTTATCGGCCGTGGAACATTTTCTTACACATTACGCTTACTTCCCGGTGTTTTTTTCCCCACACGCAACCATGTTTCATATGCTTCTATAGTGGCTTCCTGTATCATTGTATAGTTAACTTGTTATTTTTCATTAATTCTTTTATCCCTATTACTTTCTTCCTCCTGTTTCCTTCAATCATGCGTTGGATAATTTGAAAAATAACTCAACTGAATGTACTTTTATAACAAGAAAAGCAATTTTAATAATTTCTCAGTTTCGTCTTTTTCTATTTACCACTAAGATATTACTGCTCTGATGTCTCATATTTATCTAATTTAAATATGTGGAAAACAAAAAAGTTTTCTTTAACAAAAAATCAACAAAATGCATGGCTGAACAACTATCACAACCAAACGGAATCAGCAGAAAACAATACAGGACAGTGAAATAACAACGAAACAATGAGTACAGTAAATGAAAAATGCGATTAAACTTTCAAGCACTGGTCTGTTTTGCATCAAACCGCAAATAATTTTGTACATCTGAGTTAACCCTGATTTGAAAAAGATGGGAATTGGACAAGTACGGACTTAAAACTCTGACCATAAGATTCTCCTAGTTCCCTTTTTAAAATTCACATCTTTGCAAATTAATAAAGTAAGAAAAAAAAAACAGCTCATCTCTCTGTCTTCTGCAGAAATTAAACACTAAATCCATACTAAAAAAGTTGTTATATGTTATGACGTCCCGAGTGCACCTACTTCAGCCGACGCAAACATGACCCAGGACTGTGCAGAAGTTCGAGGTCAGAAACTTCTGTTTTTTTCTTTCCAAAAAAACTTGAAACAAGCCTACGAAAAAACCCGTCTTCTTGACACCCACCCAAAAAAAGCGCTTAACATTTAAACCTATGAGAACTTCGATGCCAAACATATAAAGGGAAAGCATAAAATAAAAATCCTTCTATTAAATTTCAAATAAGACGTATTTTAGAGACCGTGACGGCAACTCCCTTTTAAACCTCTGACAAAAAAAAACAGATTAATTCAGGAGAATAATCTCTCCGTTAGCTTTGGACGGTGTATGTACGTGCCATAAAAATAAATCTAGAAACCCGCAGAAATGCCGTGTTTTATCATCTTTGGTCTATCACCAATCAACTGAGCGTGTGTACCATGAAAGACCTTGCAGAGACCCTTTGCAGCCTGTGTGCAGAAGTATCCAAGGCCAGAAAATAAGAAGCTTCTTAAGCGCTGTCCTCGTCCGAAGATATCACCATTTCTGCTTCACCTTCTTCTGCATACTCATCAGATGGTAAAACTGACGGTTCCTCATTTCTCGTTGCATTTGCTTCAGTATCGGAAGGTTGGTTTGAAGCAACGCGGAATTCCATAGGACTTTCGCTAAAAAGAATAGGGTGGCAATGCGAACCTGCTTTCCAAAATATTCAGAAATAGATGTCATTTTACCCTGATGTAGACTGTGGTAGTATCGGAGTAATTTGTTGCGTATCTGCTTTCATCTTCTTTCCCAAATCTCCAGTATTTGCAGATGGGGTTGAAGTTGCACCACCAGGAAGATCCAATGGATTAACTCCCAGGCGATGGTGGATTTGACTTATTTGCCTCAGAATATTCCGGCCATGTTCTTTACTCTGAAGATGCATAGTATATATTATGAATTGGTAATAATTTAGTGTTAAAACTAACCGTCTCGTATTCCAAGCATCTCTGTGCGAAAGCACTAGCAGTGGTTAATTCGTTCTTCTTCAAATAGTAGTTAGCAAGAAAACTACAACATTTTGACACGTTGTCCTCGTCATCTATCTAGAAAAAAAAAACACACCTTACAAGATATATATATCTATTGCTTGACTGAGCCGGCCCATAAGTTCATGTCGATTGATAACTTACACTACTCGTACTAATTCATGACATAACTCTCGGAAAACTGAAAACATTTTTTATTTTCTATTCAAATAAAAACGCTAATAAACTTCAAGCTCCCAAGCTTTTCCTCCAAACTCTCGTAGTAAATCTTTTAAAAAAATTTAAAAAATTATTACTGCCTTACCTCAACGTTTCCCATAATTAAAAAAAAAGGCAATGACTCCGAGAAAAGCAATGCTTTACAGTCGCAAAAGGCTTTTTACTTGGCCCAGAAAGAAGAATTCAAACAATGACTTTTGAAAAGAAAAAAATATTGACCACTCACACACTGTTCGCCATAAACGTCCAAATACTTCTCATACGCTAGAGCTGCTGAATCTTTATTATCGTGTCTCGCATATAACCTTCAATATTTTTTGGGTGAAATGATATTTATCATGCCAAGTGTCATAAAAACAATTCTTTTTAAATTACGTATTTACGACAACTATAAAGCTGTTTCAAACGGTAAAGAGAACTCATGATTTATGAGTATTTTCCTAAAGATTGCTATGTGCGAAAAACTCAGCTCGAAAAATTATTAATTTTAGGAGAAAACTAATTTTTGCGAGGTGTCCTGATACCATATCAAAAAGTACGCTACTGATTCAGCTCTACAATTCTCAAAAGTTATAAAGAAAATTTCAATGACTTTCACAGTTAGCTTGCATTAAAAAAGTTATCCAGTTTCACTAAAAAGTAGAAAAAATTTCTAAACTTTTCTCTGGAATACAAAAATAAAAGTTAACTGCTTAAAGAACTAAATATGCAGAAGAACATTGGAGAAAATTTTGTTTTCATAACCATACCCTCCAAGCAACATTAAAGCTGTCCCTTCGACATCGCCTACTTTGTAAGCTTTCAGGAAGCATTTCTGTGCGTCATTAAACCGTTCTAAACGGGTATAGATTTCCCCTAGAGCAACCAGCATACGCGAATCATCGGGTCTGCAATCCATCTCATCAAAAGTCAAAAAGTGGTCTCTATTAATCATCGGGGACCTTATTTAATGACAGAATTCCTAAATTACTTGCACATATGTGCCCTTTGGTAATAGTGAAGCGCGTAAGAATGCATTTTCAAGATATCGTACAGTTGACCAAGACCATACCATCCACGATAGTCTTTTGCATCTGCTGCTAAAATTACTTTTACCTTCAGTATCTTCACAGTGAAAGTAAAAATTACATCACATACTGAACCCAGAAACTTTGGAGGATTTTAAGAAGAAAATATTTCGACAGTGACTTAATTAAGTTTAGAGATACTGACATCCTTACCAATAGCTTTACGATACGCTATACAAGCGGCAGCATTATTCTTCTGTTCCATGAATTCATGACCAATAAGAGTCCATGCAGATGCGTTGTACGGATTTAGCTTTAGGGAGCGCTGTAAAAAAATAGTGGCTCTCTCATGATCTCCTCTCAAGCTGTAGTAGTTTGCTGAAAATTAACTTGAAACAGTAAGAAAGCATCGACTGTTAAGTGCCCAACAACTCCTCATAAGGAAAAGCTTCAGGCTTCAAGTGGAAAATACCCAGAAAAGTCAATTTTCAGTTTTATTAAAAGTTGCTAATAATGGTCACACATACCTACTATACAGCTGGTCTCCCACCTGAATTTATGTGTTAAATAAAAATCGTGAGCCAAAGCTGAGAGCTCGGCGCATAAACCCTGCAAAAGTTCCTAATAAAATGCAAAATATTCCTTCGAATTATCTTTCAAAAAAAAGTTCCTGATAAAATGCGAAATATTCCTTCAAATGATCTTTTAACTAAATCGATCCGTTCTACCAAAATAAAAAACACCAATGTAACGCCGCTTACCCGAACATACAAAGTGTCGGAATAAAGATGCATGTTGGTGACACATCTAGGATCATTTCTGCGTACTTTCTCAAAGAATTCCCAAGCACTGTCATGTTCTAAATTACTAGGCTTCAGAAACTGCACCACAAAAACCGATAGTAGGTTCTGAGCAGGACATTAAGAATCTTTTAACAGAAGTAAAATTGCACTGACCTTGAAGAGCATTGAATGCAGCTGCCATCTTATTAACAAGGTATGGCATTTCTGCAAAACCTCCCTCTGATATCCGTTCATACTCTTCTAATGCATTTTTGTGTAAATAAAATCTAGACAAAACATCTGCTTTGAATAATCTATACATCCAGTGATCACCAGAAGTAAACTCATGCATTTCTGCCTGAAAGAAAGTCACATTTAAATTTTCCTACGCTTCAGTTCCTCATTTATGCACCTTGATTCCTATTTTGAATCAACACTTTTGGTTTTCTTTGAAATACTGCAAACAAATTACATTCTAGTCCTAAATATTACTTCTTGTGGTGAATCGACAAGACAAACTAATTCTTCCCAAGACGGCCAAAACGCTTTGTTCCGTAAAATAGATTGTAAAAAGGCTTCTTTTGCAACGGTTCTTAGTTTTAGACTAAGTCGCACTTTACCAAGGCTAAAATGCCGAGTTAAACATTAGAAGACCAGGATTTCGCATATTGAAAAGTTCATTGGAAAGTAAAAGAAGTAACAGGATAAAACTGTTTTACACATAAAAAAGAAAAGCGTCAAAACGTGTAGGGTCTTCTTCTCCTAATTTACAAAGTTCTGCATGTAAAGAAATAAGCTCAGAATGATCGTATTCTGAAAATCCCAACGATTCTGCATCGTTTTCTAAACTTCGCCTTTCGTAAGCCTGCAAGATGAGCAAAATATAAGCCCAGTTAACAAGAATGCAGGCGAATTAGGCAGTTTCTCCTTGAGCCAGCTCACCAACACGTTAACCAACGAACCAGGTATCTAGCCCAGTAGTACAAGAACTGATGATATAGCGACTGCTTCCTGACACGTTCAAGAAAAAACTCTGCCCGATAAAAGTCACCATTTTTAATTAACGCGCGCCCTAAAATACCAGAAGTATACCAAGGAAAAAAGAAAAAAGTTCCCCGAACTCACAGGTTCCTTATATTGTCCAGCCTCACGCTGAAGACAAACTAACAGGAACAGCACGGCCTGTCAGCTTGACACCTGGTGAGTAATCCATGAGACCATATAATTGATGTATTACCAAAAGCGGTGACTCTATCAAACAAGGCTTTCTTGTTGGATGACTCAGCTTCAGACGCTGTTGTTGCACTCTCCTCATACGCTTCAAACCAATCATTTGGCAAGTAGTACAAAACTTCATTTGCCCTGCAAAAAAGTATACCATATTTATGACAATCCTCGGAACTTCAATCCTCTGCTTACAAATCCACCGTTATACAATATTAAGATGGAATGAGTTCATAATCAGCATAAGCAGACTTTTAACGTTGGTTATCTGCAGCAAAAAGAAAATTATAGAACAAAATTACTCGAAATATTACACGCACCACTGCTCAGCGTCGGTTATGCAACGAAGCTCAGACTCATGCGCAAGCCAACGAAGATCTTGGATGATTAGCGTGCTGTCGAAAGCCATTACGAAGTTAATCGTGTATCTAATTTGTGGATAATGATGAAACCAAACACAGTAATAGTTTAGACGTATAAACACGTTGTAGATGCATAGCACTTGACTACTGTTACGGATAATAAAACCATCTAATCAATCTACAAAAACCAAATGATCGCATCAGTATTCAAAGTCACAGCAGTCTTCTGCGACCACACAAATACGAATTCCATAGGCAAAATTATTTAAGGTGATGATAATATAGAAAAAAATTTAAAGTTTACGACGGTCCAGATCTGTCTGTAAAAATGTCTCCTACAAAATGAATTAGAAACAGTCACGAAAGTAGGTAAAATACCTGCAAAAAATTCTAAAAATTTGATTTCAAAGATGAAAAGCCAGATTCAGAGATCCTGGATAAATTAAAAAACATATTATTACCAATCAATAAATAGCACACTTAAAAGACTGAAAACTTTCTTAAATGGAGAGTAATTGAAATACAATAACTGTAAAAAAATGTATCACCTGAGTGTCTAGGAAAAAAGTTAAACGGTCTGAAGATAAACTATGCGGGTTCCAGCTAAGACTCTGAATCTCAAGAATGAATTTGCCTCAAAGGCTTTTGCCCAGCAAAAAAATATGTAGAAAGAAGCAAATGGAAAGTGGACAATAAAAATTTCTTTTGAAATTTTGTCACTTTCAGGAGGAGATGATCTACACCCCGATTTCCAGCATGATGCAAAGGGTTTTCGTAGGTCAAAAATTATGATGGCAATGTCTAGACGACCACAGAATTCCCAACAATCACCACTACTAGATGCCCACGACTTATTCCGGCCGTAACTTAAACTTCTCATATTCCTATCAGACACCGTTTAAACAGTTCTAGTGAACCAAAACCGTATTTGAAAAGAATTCTAAAAAACTGTATTCTGATTTTAAGCACCCT